GTAATCTCTCCTCGTAGCTCATACTCCTCAGTTTGGGTACTAATCTGGTGGCAAACCTTTGAACCATTTCCAGTTTAGTTTTATTCTTAACTAGATATGGACTTCATGCTGGAGCTGCATACTCTAAGATTGGTCTAACATATGTGGTATACAAAGTTCTGAATGATTCCTTACACAAGTTACTAAAGGCCATTCTTATGTTGGCCAATCTAGCAAATGCCACGGGTGTTTTCCTCTTGATATGGGCTTCAGGGGACAGGTCTGGCATGATATCAACCCCAGGACCTAGATTCACGAAGCTCCATGTATTTCTTCATAAGTATGTGTGGTACGAAGGTTCCTAAGTACTGACTTAGAACGCACCAAAGGGCGATTCAGAAAAGTATATTTACGAAGATTTTTAAGTAGTTCACTTAGGTCTTGCTAGATGTCACTAGGCTTTTAGTTTGGCCAATCAGAGAGAAGGTAACATTTTTCATCTTACAGCTGTAGCCAATCACGACGTTGGCACGTCGGAGCTTATCCGTGACCACTTGCTACTTATTTACGTTTAATTTTCTTATAAAATTAGTACATTTCGAAGTAAAACTATGTTTTTTCAACTTGTATAATCAGCACCGACATTATAGTATACAAATATGTTTCAGTTTTTGTTTACCTACGTAATTCTAAGAGATAGTGTATAGCTTACCTTGTCGCTCCTAAGATTTGAGAAGCAATGGTATTTATTTACGCATATATATTTACCTAAATTTTACCCAAGGGCCACTATCTAATAGCCTCGACGAGGACAAAAACCCGGGGGCGTTTTAAGTCCCGCCAATTGTCCTAATGATATTTTCTAGCTGGATTTTGGCATTTACGGCTTCAGCGGGTAGGCGGTTCCATGGGTTTATTTATTTATTTATTTATTTATTAATATATTTATTTATTTATTTATTTATTTATTTATTTATTTATTTATTTATATACAAGAAGGTACATTGGGTTTGTGAGGATACATAGCATGGTATTTACATTCTTGTAAAGCCACTAGTACGCGCAGTGTTTCGGGCAGGTCCTTAATCAAACAGATAATTTTAAGTAGGTAAATTCTAGCAGGATTTATAAAATGATAACAGGTGCATTGCAAGAAAAAAATGGGATGAGAGAGATTAGTAAGTATATTAAAGCACATTGGTAGCTCTGATTGATTGCACTGAACAGCTTGATTGGTAATTTAACAAAGATTAGTAGGCACAATACAGCATATTGATAGCACATATAAGAAGACAGCAATGATCACAATGGTAAAGTTGTTTGGATTAGGTACATAAAGATTGGGAGATTGGGTAGCACTAAATACAGTGCAATTTTAAAGCACAAGAGAGGAAACTTTGAGGATGAAATTAGGTACAGTACTTCTTAGTTTTGTTTTTGAACGAGGCAAAAGTTGGACAGCTTTCTAATTCATTAGGGAGTGAGTTCCATAGACTAGGTCGCATTATTTGCATAGTGTTTACACAGATTAAGTTTGACTCTGGGAATATCAAAGAGATATTTATTTCTGGTGTGGTGATAATAGGTCCTATTACATCTGTCCAGGGGGAGTTTCAGAGCAGGGTTTGCATTTAAGAACAGGGCTTTGTAAATGTAGTTGACACAAGAGAATGTGTGGAGTGAGTTTATGTTTAGCATGTTTAGGGATTTAAACAAGGGGGCTCAGTGTTGTCTGAAAGCAGAGTTTGTTATTATTCTGATAGCAGAGTTTTACTAGGTGATGATGGACTTGAAGGGTTGCAGTGGTTGAACCCATGCACAGATGCAATAAATAAGATAGGGATAGATTAGTGCATAATATAGTGAGATGAGAGCAGAGTTAGATACATAATATCTGATTTTGAAGAGTATACCAACTGTTTTAAAGACTTTCTTAGTTATGTGTTGTATGTGGGTGCTGAAGTTGAGTCTATTGTCTAGGAATAGGTTGAGAAACTTTCCATCATTTGTATTACTGATGTTAACATTGTCTATCTGAAGCTGAATTGCATTTGTTGAATTGCTTCCAAATAAGATGTAGTAGGTCTTTTTTATGTTTAGTGTTAGTTTGTTGGTTGACATCCACAAGTGGACTTTTTTAAAATCATTATTCAAAACATTATTTATTGTGTGTGGGTTGGGGTTTTTATAACCCTCTGGGTGAAAAAATATCTGTTTTCAGTCCTACTTGAGAGGATATACTCTCCAACACTATATCTGTGATTGCCCTGTTATCAGTGACTTCAGACCAAATGGTATGAGGTATTTTGAGCTCTGTAATTGCTTCATACACTCAGGAATATTGGAAGATATTTTTGTGCTGTGCCCAGATTTTACTAGTGGGGAGGCTAATAGAGGCTTCCAGCCTCTAATGGCTGTAATGTAATGAAATGTAAGGCTTCCAGCCTTACGTTTCTTATTCTCTCCTGATTTCATGTATAACTGGCCGTCCTGTGAGGTGGGGATGTTGGATGAGCTTGTAGCTAGTTTATGATCTACACTGTAATCTTTCATATAAAATAGGGTAGCAGCACATTGCTGTGTATACATAAGCTTGTTAATAAAAATAAACCAGTAATAAAGGTTTTAAATTATAGCTTGTATTATTATTATTACCAGTATTATCCTTATTAAATCATAAATGTTACCCATGGATCATTAAGATCTCATGTTGATATGTAATGTTAGTACTGTAGTTCATACAGTCATAATTATAGGTTTAAGTATTCAATGAGAGAAGTTTTTGAAGTTTTAACCCTTCTTACCTATCATAATTTGTGCAACACATTTTTCTTTTATGTCTCACCCAGATTTAATTTCTAAATAAAAACCAAACAAAATAAATAAAAAATGGGTATGTATAGCTAAGGTACACCCCTAGCTATACTTATTGCTAGATGAAAAGTTCGTTTGGTGATAGTAAATGCTCCCACCAGCCACCTTCTCTCATATTTCATATTCACCAGTGTTTATTTACTTAATAACTACTGGTATAATATCTTGCTATTATAAAACTAATTCTAATATCATAAAAGATATTTACTACAAGTTTCATGCAGAGAATGCATATATAGTTAACATGAAGGACTCCATCTTGATTATAAGAAAATCGATCCTCCGTGTTGTGTAGTAAAAAAAAAAATTGAGTTTTATCCAGGTTACGTAAAGCTACGAGTGGTCGAGGGCGTCCTTAAATCGAGGCGGTGTACTTACGAAGATTTCCCTTCTTAAATACATACCTGAATACCGACCTAGCCGCTACGAAGGTGCTAAGAAGAAAAACATTTGTAAGTATGTATGTAACTGCTTTGTGAATCTGGCCCCAGGTCTTTCTCTCTCTCTCTGATTCTTGAAGGATTTCATCTCCCAAATGATACCTTGTATCTGGCCGCCTGCTCCCTACACCTTGTGGTTCATTGTCTGAACCGCAGAGGTTCAATGCGGTCCTAGGCTCTTTGGGGCTGGTCGCTTCGGGTGACTCATCTGCTGAGTTCTTGGAGTTTGTCTCTCTTGGCCGTTCACGTTCGGGGGTATCCAACTTCCTGGCGGACAGCCTGTCTCGGTTCATTTCCCTGTCTATGAAATGGACGGTCATCGCCGACTCATTCAGTTGGCTCTGCCGGATGTATGGGCTCCCGGAGGTGGACCTCTTCGAGTTGGCATGGTCGAGGTGTCTCCCAGTATATTTGGCGCCCTTTCCCGACTGTGAGGCCATTGGGGTCGATGCCTACAGGTAGGACTGGTCGAAGTGGGGTTGCCTTTACCTTTTTCCCTTGCTACATAGCCTTCCCGGTTTGGTGCCTTCTTTTGATAATTACTTACTTACCTCTTCCCCTCGGTTCTGCTGTTGTTCCAAGTCCTAGCTCGCTTGGAGACTTACCAAGGGAGAGTAGTCCTCTTGGCTCCTTGGTGGCTGACCCAGCTTTGGTTTCAGGCGCTGCTTACTCAGTGTCCGAAACGATAGGTCTTCCCACGGCTCCGCCTCTTTCAGCAGTTAGGGCCAGTCCATTATGTAGCTGCTTCGATCTTCTTCTTCTCAAGTCTTTGCTTCTGGTCTTTCTGATGCGGGTCTATCACCATTTCTATGGTGAGTGGGTGGCTTCAGCTTTTTTTTTATACAAGAGTTCTTACATTCTTGTACAGCCACTAGTACGCATAATGTTTCAGGCAAGTCCTTAATCCTATGTTCCTGGAATACAACCCCCCCCCCCATCCCGTGAAGAATCGTTTTTACATCCAAGTACCTATTTTACTGTTGAGTTAAACAGTGGCTACAGTTAAGGATTTGCGCCCAGTAAATCCTCCCGGCCAGGATACGAACCCAGGACAAAGCAATCACAGAACGCCAGGCGAGAGTCTTACCACTACACCACAGAGACTGTGCATTGATAGTATCCCACCTGCATCTCCTCTCAGCAGTAGTATGAAGTTTACTGGAAGTCCTTTTGTATTTCTTGTCCCTTTGTAGGTTTTCTTCTATTTCGATGTGGGTTGTCTTATCCTTTCTGTCTTGGATGTTTCAGGACCATCATCTTATGCCGAATACTGTTGCCTTGTATCAAGTGGCGATGGCGGAGCCGCTTCAGCTTGCGTTCAGGGTGGATGTTACTTATGCCCCATTCCGCAAGCTGTCTTGTGCATTGTTTCAACCCCAGCCTGCTCATGCGCCACCAGAGCCTTCCTGGTCATTGGAATGGGTGCTCTGTTATCTCTCTTCTCCTCGATTTGTTGTGGCCCATTCGGTTCAAAATTGTTTTGTGAAGGCTCTTTACCTGTTGGCATTGGCCTCCAGGGTCAGCTTGGGGAGCTTCAGGCATCTATGTTATTACTGTATATGATAAAAAGGATTGGCTCCAAAATGGACCCCTGAGGGATTCCATTTACCTTAGGGGTCCACCTGAGGTAAATGGGGTAAATTTTACTTCTTTGCTTTAAACATTGTTAAAATCAAATATTGTTACACATAAATCATTTTCACTTACCCTTGGGTGGGGCCATACTGAAGGCCAGAAGACAGACAGTCTGGAGGGAGTGACAGTACTCTCCCATCCTGCAGGGTTATGTTCACCTCGCGGAAAGGAAACTTCTCTGGATTGGGCATTCCTGATGCCAGCCATACTAGTGATGGCGATGGTTTGTCCAAATGTGCTCCTGTAAGTATATGTTGACATTAATAGTACTGTTTAAATGTTTGTTATCTTTCTATACATGGAAGAATACTTTTCATTATGAATTATCATCATTATTATTGTTATTATTGTTATTGTTATTTATTATTATTATTATTATTATTATTATTATTATTATTATTATTATTATTATTATTATTATTATTACAATCTTCGAGGTAGCAGACTGATCTGTTATGCCATTTTTTGCTTCTCCTGTTTCCTCCTGGAAGTAGCACAGAACTCATTTTTTTCTTGGCAATATCATTGTAATGGGGATCTCTGGCTATCTTAATTGCAAGTGTAGCATTCAGTTCCTTAATTCAGTTTTTAACACTGGGGAGGGACAACTCCTCTCGTAAAGGAGAGGAGGTGTTTTGCCTGTTCTTGGGACTCTAAGAATGATTGTCATGGCTTCATTTTGTATGATTTCAAGCCTTTTCGTATAGCTTTGGGAGTTGGTGCATAAAACTGGTGCGGCAAAGTCTATGCCGGAGTGCACATAGGCTGTGAACATCATTTTAAGCATGGCAATAGAGGCTCCATGCCCATTCCAGGTCATAGCTTTCAGTGCCCTGCGACAACATTTACATGTTCCTCCATGAGTTGGATGAGCTCCTCTTTCTTCCTCTTGTTAGAGCCAACAGTGACGCCAAGGTATCAATAGTGGTCAACCCATTCAAATGTTACACCATTAATTTGTAGATCTTCATTTTCTCCGCGTTTTTTATGAGAGTATGCTTTTGCCTTGTTTGTGGGGAGAGTGAAGCCGAGTTCAATACATTTCCTTCCAAAAGTTCAATGTACTGTTTAATTTTCCCAAATGTGGGAGCTTGTATTAAAACATCGTCTGTACATCCCACTTGTTGTGTTCCTTCCGGAAATTCAATATTTGCAATGGCCTTCATAAGTATGTTGAATAGTGTAAGGCTTAAGACTTCTTCTTAAGGGGTCCCAAGTTCCATACTCATTGTTCTCGAGACTGCTCCGTTGAAGCAAACTATGGCTTTCCTCCCAGTGAGATAGTCTTCAAACCGTTTCATGAGTCTTCCCTTGACACCCATGAATGCAAGCTCGTTCAGGATCGAGATCCCCTGTTCTTTGTCGAAGGCTCCTTCGATGTCAACAAATACAGAGTACTTAGCTGTTTCAAGTCAAGTCATTAACTATACAGTTTGCTGTGCACCGTCCTTTAACAAATCCATTGACCCCCTCCCCTAGTCTGCTTATCAGTTTAGCATGATTCTTTCAAGCATCTTGCACGTGCATGTCATTAGACTGATAGGTCTGTAATAGCCATGGTCATTGGGCTTTGGTATGGGAACTATTATTACGTGTTTCCATTGCATGGGCAACACTCCACTTAGGAATGATTTGTTAAACAGGTGTAGTAGCGGATTCCCGGACACCTCTCACAGTGAATTAGGTTTGTAGTAGGTGACTCCATATTCACAAGATGCAGTAATTTTACCCTTTTCAAAGCCCCCCTTACTTACTGGGCTGTGATTGGTTGCCCATACTCATCATCACTAGACAGTGCCCTTGTTATCCTAATTCTTCTGCCATTGTGTCGCAGGAGCTGTTCCCTGCTTATTTCTGCATGGAGAGAGGGAAGGAGGGAGGAGGAGGAGGATGCTGCATCACTCCACTTGTGAATTAGTTCCTCAGCCTTACCCTGGGGGTCTTTGTGAGCCGCAGTCCGGGTTCTGTTCCCCTCCCTCCCCCCCCCCCATTAGCTATCTGAATTTTTGCCCACACTTGTCTCACAGATGTCTCTCTTCCAATAGAGCTAGTGAATTCAAGTCATTGTCTTTCCCGCTCTTTAATCTTCTCTTCCCTGACTTTGCTTTCAGTGAGATGTCTCTGGTATTTTCTATTCATGTCCCTTACATTTGCATTGAACTTCTTTATGTAATCTTTCTCATACCATTTAATTTTCTTCTTCTGAGGGTTACTTCGCCCAGTCGTACGGCGCGAAACTCGAGAGACAGTTTTAAATTTGGTTATTAAAGTCACCAACAAATTTATCAATGTCTTCTTGGACTTCGTGTTACATGAACCAGTCACTCGTTTTGTTTATGAAGTGCTGACTCATATTTGGTCCGAGTGATAACGTTTTTCTTTGATTTATCTCTCTTTTTTTCCTCTTGCTTATGTCGACGGTGGTAATCAGTGCCCAGTGGTCACTACATAAACTGTGTACAATGTGTGTACTGGCATCCATGTCCTGTGCATTCAACAGGAGAGCATAGTCCAATCTTCCTCCTCTGAGGTGAGTTGGTTGTTCATCACCCAGGACCCTAAGATTTTCACTTCCCCTAATATAGAGTGAGTTTCCGTTCATTGACATTGGACAGTTGACTTCAAAGTGTGGGTGTCTGGTATTAAGGTCATTGACCAGCAGTGTATGTTATAATAATGTTAATAAATATGTATGACATTAAGCTCACTGACCAGCAGGGTATGTTATAATAATGTTAATAAATATGTATGTATGTTAATAAATTCAGGTAGTGTGTCAAGGTCATATTTATTCTGTGGCACATATAGGTTGATTATATGAAAGGCATTATTGTTTAAGTGATGGGTTACCCCCAGTGATTCATACTCATCCCCCATGTGGAGGTCATCAATAATCTGTGCAGGTACGTTGTTACTTACATAAGTAATGAACTCAATTTTGTTTTCCCCATCGGGCAGGGAGAACTTGTGATAACCGCTGAATCTCAGGTTGAAGTCATCACCCACCAGTGTCTCCTGTAGCACTATGGCGTCAGTTTGGTGTTTCCTTACCTACTGTATGATGTCATTAATTCTATTGCAAACGCCATTGCAGTTTTATTTTAGTAACCTCAAGATAGTATAGTGAGATGTTCTTCACTGTGGTTATGCATTTTCAGGTTGTTTGTCATTAGATGCGCTATGTGCGTTATTATTATGTTCACTCGTGTTATTGTGTATTCTGTGGTGACTGGTGTTAGTGTGCACTGGTGTTCTTGTGTGAACAAATATCATGGTATCATTATGGCTGCTGGCATGTAATGATGTGATGGTATCACTGTGTGTGCTGTCATGTGCTTTGGCAACATGTATTACATCACCTTGCACCAGGCTGTGGCTTGCCGGACCGTCACATGATAGACTCTACTGTTGCAGGAAATGGAGGAATCGTTCTCGAGTCTTCATAATCAGGCAAATGGCGTTCTCAAATTCCGTTTGCTTGCGTATTATTTGTTGGACGAGTGGATGAGTTTGTATCATTTGGTCAAGTATTGCTTTGATGTGATTCAGGGTGTATTCCTCCTGGGGGTCAGGAAGGGGGCTGGTGGGTTTGGCATAGTGGGTGGCTGGTGTGTTTGGACGAAAAGGTGGTTGGGAGGCTGTGGAGAAGTCTGGTTCATGGGAAGGTTGGGTGGGGGGGTTAGGTGGTGGTGAGGCGCCGTGGGTAGAGAGTGAGGTATGAGTGGGTGGGTATCTTGGAGGGGAAAATGGTGGGGTAGGCCTCAGGGATGGGGGGAGTGGTGGCGGGCTATCCCGCTCACGCTCCCTGGATGGATCACCGGATCGACCTTGGGCCGTCCTATTTACTAGTTCACCTGCGATCTGAGTCAGTTGTTTGTGTTGGACCTTGCCAAGTAGACCTCTTGCTGAAGTGTCGCATAGTGGGATTTCTTGCAGTTGACACATTTGAGTGTTACAGTGCCACTAGCATTAAGCTTATCCAGACATTGTTTAGTGTCATGCGAGCCACTGCATCACCCATACCTAGTTAGGCCATCACATTGTTAGGTTCTGTGATCCCATCGTTGGCATTTGCCACATAAGGATGGACTGTCAATATACCGTTCCACTCTGCATGGCCTTATGCCCGGTAATGCAATGACAGTGGGCAGCATTCCCTACCACAGAGCGATCGCTGATTTTTTTGGCACTCCCCCAGGTCCCGTGTGCGCTTGACCCAGATGATCTGGGTAATAGTAGGCATCCATCAGTCTCAGGAGACTATAGAGTTGCGCTCTGATGTCGGCCTGGTCTGGAGTGGTCTCACCAGGGTGCAAAGCCAGGGTAGGTTGATTCGAGGGAGAAGCTGTTACCCAGGAAGCAGGTCCCCCCTCTCCACGGCGCTGAAAGTCTCCAATGGAAAGGCATACGCCAATACGACTGGTTCCAGCGCCGTCGCAGGAACTGTGAGTTCCGGGGATGACCTCGAAGTTGGTGAAGAAGAGCACAAGGACCTCCCACCCCGGAGACCACCGTGGTCAGGGCCGGAGAAGAACCACCCCATCAAGGGCTATGAACGACCCCAGCCTCATGAAGGAGAGCCTGGGCCGCACGACCCTCGGGAGGTGGACGTCCCGGTCCCGCGCCTACGGGTTCCAAACAATGATCGTCACAGCCCTCTTTCACTTTCATTTTATATATAGATATTATATATAGGTCTTAATAAGGTCTTTAAGGTCTTTAATATACTCAACAGCAGCATGGATACTGAAGTTTTCAAATATAATTTTGGTTTGTCTAGTCTGTGAGCTTCCTTCTAAAAGTTTTAAACTTTTACCTTCATACTCATGGTCATTCTCTGTGAATAACTGCAAGGCTCTGGCTCCATACTCCTGTTCAATGACACTTCTACCTGCAAATTTGCTTTCAATACAGTGCTCTCTGTGGGTGTGGGCGGCCTTGATGATCCATTTGCACTTATCTGCTGATCTTATATCTATTGTAGGGAAGATTAAGATGTGTCACTCACAACATTCGGCTTGTTGCTGTCGATGTAGTTGTCATTGTTGTTGTTGTCGTTTCCGATGCTGTTACTGTTGTTGCTGTTGTTGTTGCTGCTGATGTGGTTCAAACAGTCGTTTCACCTTGTCTCGTCTCTTACTTGCTCTGCATCTGACGTTCTGATAGCCCTTGTCATCCTCTGTTGTAGTGTCACCTGGACATGTGACCTCAGCCACGCTGGAGGGCCCCGGGCAGGTGACC